AGGATGCCATACGTGAAGCATATGAAGATGTGCGTTCAGATCTCACAGACACAGAATGGTAGGTATTCAAAAATATTTTAAAAATCAACCAGTAAGGAAAGTAGTAAAGTCGAATGGGGCCGACTATATGAAACCCTTCACCACTTTGGATATATTCAACAGATGAATCCTAACAGACGTCGTATTTTTAAAGGACCAGTAAAATGAAATTGGATCCATAAACATTTCATTCTGCAACCGATACTAAATTTTTCATTTTGTCAGGTATAGAAGCTATATCTTAATCCGAACTAATTTCGTGCAAATCGAAAGATATATATGGACTCCAGTGCACCATTTACCTTAAATCGGACGAAAATATATATGGGAGCTATAACTAAATCTGAACCGATTTTCAAGAAACTTAACACACATCATTCTAGACCTAATTCTTTACGCTGTGCCAAATTTCGTACAAATCGAAAGATATATAGAGACTTAGGTGGATCATTTACATTAAATCGGATGAAAATATATATGGGAGCTATATCTAAATCTGTACCGATTTTCACGAAACTTAACACACGTCATTCTAGACCTAATTCATTACGCTATGCTAAATTTCGTGCAAATCGAAAGATATATAGGGACTTAGGTGGACCATTTACATAAAATCGGACGAAAACATATATGGGAACTATATCTAAATATGGACCGATTTTCATGAAACTTAACGCACATCATTCTATACCTAATTCATTACGCTATGCCAAATTTCGTGCAAATCGAAAGATATATAGGGACTTTGGTACACCATTTACCTTAAATCGAACGAAAAAATAAAATGGAGCTATATCTAAATCTGAACCGATTTTCAGAAAACATAACACACATCATTATAGACTTAATTCAGTACGTCATACCAAATTTCGTGCAAATCGAAAGATATATAGGGACTTTGGTACACCATTTTAAATCTGCACCAATTTTTCCCAATTTCAATAGGGTTCGTCCTTGGGCCAGATAAGGGGCCTATGCCAAATTTCATCCAAATCGGATCATAAATGCGACTTGTACTTTGTTCACAAAAATACATGAACGGCCAGACGGAAATATTCTTTTAATTCGTGCCTCTGAGATTTTCAATGAAAAATATTTTTAAGAAATCCACGACTCTGAGATTGTCCCTGAAAAATGTTTTAAAAAATCTACTCCTCCTTGAAAAACATTTTTAAAAATCCAAGCCTCTGAGATGGTTCTTAGTTTAATATTTAGTCTAAAAATTTTTCGCCTAAAGGGGGTGTTTGAAAAATACTTTTTTAAAAAATCTACGCCTTGATATGACCTTAAAAATAATTATTCATTGTTTTTTTTTTAATAATTTCTAATTTGTTATTTTTTTCTTAATTTTTTTCAGGGCCGTTTTCAAATTCGATGGTCCCAGAATAACCTGCTCCGTGCGTGGCCAATGCTTCGAAGAGTTCCGCCAGCAATTCGGTGACAACGAAAGGGCATTCGGTTATATTCGCATTCAAATGGGCGATGAAATGTCCAAGAGAAAAAAATTCATTTTCCTCACCTGGATCGGACAGGATGTCGGTGTCATACAAAGGGCTAAAATGTCAACGGATAAGGCTATTATTAAAGATGTGCTAAATGTAAGTTTAAATCGATACCAGTGTAAATTAATAAAATCAATATTAATCATACGTTTTCATTTTGTAGAACTTCGCTGTTGAACTGCAGGCTGGCGTTGACAATGAATTGGACATTGAACTTTTCCGTGAAGCTTTAAATCGTGCCGGCGGTGCTAATTATGGTACTGGTGTGCGTAACTTTTAAGTAAATGCACACCAACAACAACAAAACACATCCTCTTTTATAAAAAAAAAACAAAACAACAAAAAACCTACTAAAAAAACTAAAGACATTAATCATCTCTGAATGGGTGGGGAATTGATTCATGATTTGATTTTATTCATCCCCCACTCATTTTGGAGATTTTTGTAAAAGTGTACTTCTCTATTCTTCTTCATGCAAGATTTTAAGAGTTTTTATTATTACTTTTTTTTAATAAGAGCAAAATGTTGCAATAAAAGTCCTGATTAGCTTCTAAGTGTATTTAAGACATACAATTAAACAAAATTTTCATTTTTTTAAAAGAGAGTGACAAGAGTGAGAAGAAATTGAAGACGCACTGGATTAGGCGTGGAGTACATCGAATAACTGAACCAAAACTTTTGGAATATTTGCATTGTTAATTTTGAAATTTCTTCTCACACTGATATCTCTTGTTTAAGTTTATGAACTCTTATTTTTCGTGGTCATATTTTTTTATTTTTCTCAAACCAACCAAGGTATTTTTAACAAAGAAATTCTCTTCAAAAGTAATGTATTTTTAATAATAAAAAAATATATTTTTAAATGATTACAAAAAAAGTCAAATAAAATTAACAAAAAAATCAAATTTCATTATTGTTTTTACTTGAATATAAATATTGGATTGGGTAAGTATGGGAATATACTTGAGTTCTTCAAAAAAATTTAAGCCTCTCAGGTGGCCACTAAAAATTAGAATCAGTACGGGAAGTAGTAAAGTCGGACTGGGCCGACTATATGATACCCTTCACCACTTTGGGTATACAATTCCATGTCAATGTTCCCTCGAAGAAACATACTCATGCCTTGATACACGCTATTCGTTACGTTAAAAATTTAATCTCAATCAGACAACCGTACGAAATACATATGGAAGCTATGGCTCCATCTGCACCAATTGCAACAAAACCCAATAATGTCATTCATATCTCAATCGAAAGGTGAATCGATTTTCCCGAAACGTATCACACAGCACTCTAGACTCAATTCAATACGCTATGCCAAATTTGTTCATGCAAATCGAAAGTTATATAGGGACTTTGGTGCACCATTTACATAAAATCGGAGGAAAATATATTTGGGAGCTATATGTAAATCTGAACCGATTTCCACGAATCTTAGCACACATCATTCTACGCTTAATTTAGTACGCTATGCCAAATTTCGTGCAAATCGAAAGATATATAGGGACTTTTGTGCATTTACATAAAATCGGACGAAAATATATTTGAGAGCTATATGTAAATCTGAACCGATTTCCACGAATCTTAGCACACATCATTCTGCACAAAGTTAAGTACGCTATGCCAAATTTCGTACAAATCGGAGGATATAAAGGGACTGTGGTGCACTATTTACATTAAACAAGACGAAAATATATTTGAGAGCTATATGAAAAACTGAACCGATTTCCACGAATCATTCTAGATTCAATTCAGCACGCCGTGACAAATTTCGCGCAAATCGAAAGTTATATAGGGACTTTGGTACACCATTTACCTTAAATCGGACGAAAATATATATAAGAGATCATTCTTGGCTTATTTCAGTACGCTATGCCAAATTTCGTGCAAATTAAAAAAATATTTGGGGACTTCGGTGCACCATCTACCTTAAATCGGACAAAAATATATATGGGAGCTATATCTAAATCTGAACCGATTTTCACAAAACTCAGCATACATCTTTCTAGACCTTATTGAGTAAGCTATGCTAAACATTTAGGGACTTTGGTGCATCATTTACCTTAAATCGAAATTTTGTGCAAATCGAAAAATATTGTGGGACTTTAGTGCACGATTTACCTTAAATCGAACGAAAATATATATGGGAGCTACATATAAATCTGAACCGATTTTTACGAAACTCAGCGCACATCATTCTAGGTTCAATTCAGTATGCTATGTCAAATTTCGTGCAAATCGAAAAATATTTTGGGACTTTGTTGCACCATTTACCTTAAATCGGACGAAATTATATAGGGGATCTACATCTGAACCGATTTTTTCCAATTTCAATAGGGTTCGTCCTTGGTCCAAATAAATGAGCTGTGCCAAATTTCATCCAATTCGAATCATAAATGCGACCTGTACTTTGTTTACAATTTAACATGGACAGACAGGCGGACGGATGGACGGACATGAATAAATCGACTTAAAAAGGTTATTCTATGCATATTCTATACCACAGTGTGTTGAAGGGTATAAAATCTCTACTCTGTAATGGTCCCCAAAAAACCACGCCTGTGCATTGTCCCTGAAAAATGTTTTTTTTTAATTCACGGCTCTGAGATTGTCCCTGAAAAATGCTTTTTTTTTAATTCACGGCTCTGAGATTTTCCCCGAAAAATGTTTTTTTAATCACTTCTGAGGTTAAAAATATTCCTTAAAAACCACGCCTATTTTGGAGATGGGCCCTCAAAAAATATTATTTAAAATCCACGGATCTGTGAAGGGCATTCAACTTTTTGGAATACTCTTCCAAACATTTAAAACTCTCAATATTTATTTTGTTTACATTTCTATGTATTTATTATTTATTTGTTATACATATGTATATTTAATTATTATTATTAAATAATTATTTTTTAATTGAATCTTTAATGTGATTTTTTTTAGGATACCTGAATTGCATATTTTCCAATGAAGTATGAATACTACTACATTCTAGACTAACATTAATAAAGTTCGGGTAAGATAATTGAAAAAAAAAAATAAATTTCGTATAACTAAAAACTATAAGGCGAAACAAAGAAGTGAAAAAAAATCAAAACAAATTCTTAAAAAACATATACGCCGTCTAAAGGCAAGCTTTGTAGCAAAAAAAAAAATGTTCTTAAAAATATAAAATAATAATCAAGGAAAACAAATAAACTAAAAGAGGGAGGGGCTATGGTCATCATCGGAGGGAATAAATTACAAAAATAATTAAGAATCTTCTTAAATATATAGTTTGTTCAAGTTAATGATATTAGAAATATAATTCAAAATTGTTTAAATTTAGTTAGATAGCATGGAGAAAATGCATTTTTGTAAGCATATAGAAATGGAGAGCGCAAGAACAGGATTTACATATACATTCTAAAAATGGTAATTATAATTGTTTATTGAATGTTATGAATGTTCAAATTGCAGTTGATTCATTTTTGTTGTTTATTTTATTTGTTAATGGAAAATACAATACTAATGACGCCGGAAAAGCACTTTATGTAAAGCATCTATATCAATCTCTAGGGGAGTCTTATTTGATGAGTGTGAACTGTAAGAAAGAAAGACAACAGATAATTAAAAAAAATAAAAAAATCTATTCCACATCACCTACCTTGAAGTTCTTATTGCAGGTGCTGTGGGTTTATTCGAGGCTCTGGGATTAACCAAAAGACACTTCATCGGTTGACCATCTAATTGACGATTGTGATAAGTATCTACGGCCTTCTCGGCATGAGCCAATGACTTATAAATAATTTCAGCTACACCAGGCCGAACAATTCGCGAATCATACAATTCACCAATATCTTCGAATAGTTCCTTAATATCCGATTGTGTTACACTGGGATGTAAATTACTAACAACTATACGATAGCCTGATGACGACGCCGACGATGATGATAATGATTTGGACAGACCACCATATGATGACGATGAACCATTTGGTGGTGATGGTGGTGTCAGGGGATTTGAGAAAATACCCATGGAAGCATGTGGATCTGGGGCACGCTCTAAACGTGAACGCATCTCATACGATAGATGTGATGAATGTTCACTTGGATAACGTCGTTGGTAGGGATCGGGGCTACGATCACGCAGCGATGACGATCTTAGAATACCTTTTGCTGGTGGTGGTGGTAATTCAGGTGATAGGCGACGTTCATGACGTGCATTATGAGGAACTTCATAAACATCGAATGGATCGTAGTGATCATTGTGTACGGTGCCCCAACTATCTAAACGTCGTGATGATGAAGATCCAAGGTCGTAGACCATGTCATTTCTGACGGTACGGCTAAGTCTTGTGGCAGCTGCATATTCCTCTGAAATATAAAAATGATTATGAATAATATAGTTAAAAGTATTGCAATAAATTAATAAAATTGGCATGAAATTTTCAAAAGGCACAGTGTCCATAATGGGATTATCTATTTCTAAGTATGAATCAGAACCCAATTCGTTGAACTATAAACAATTTTGTCAGAAAACGTGTACACATATTTCATATAGAGAAAGAAATCGTACCGCGAGGTCCTAGTCCATATTCAGATCTGGTATCGTTCTGATAGTACGTCCCAATATGAATTAAGACTGCAGAACCAGTCTGATCTTAGATGGACTAAACCACTCGCAATTAACTTCTATGCCACCAGCATCGGCTACAGTCATATACAGCAAGAAGGCGTACCGTGAGGTCCTAGTCCACATTCAGGCCTGATATCGTTCAGACAGTACGTCCCAATACGAATGAAGACTACAGAACCAGTTTGATCTTAGATGGATTATAACCACTCGGAATTAACATCTATGCCACCAGCATCGGCTACAGTCGGGATAGCATTCTGATAGATTTAAATACTATTCCATAGCCGATCGACTACATTCTCAAACCACAATGGGGCCGTTCATGTTTGCTATGATTTTTGCTCATTTTAATACCTTTATATTGAGTGGTGAATTGATTATGGAAATATATATATATATATATATATTTTTTTTTTTTTTTTTTTGATGTACGTACCCGGTTACCCGCTCATTTTACCTGGAAGTTTTGATACTATGTTGTTTAAAAGGAGAATCTATCATGTAACTGATGTTGGCCTCTGTCCGTAAGTGGAAATTCCGTTTTATGAATTTTCTCCGTTTCTGCGGAACCGATTCATACAAAATGGGTAGCATTTTTAAGGTCATAATTGGTGACATGATGGGGATATCTCAATCCGTTTTAGAAATACTTTAAAAAACGTTTTTGGACCCGGTTTTTTAATCCCTCTAAATTCGATCAAGGGTCCAATATATTCCCTCACCAACACTGTCCCAAATGATAGCCTACACTTTGAGCTTTCAAAAACGATACTCTCCCAAATGCATGGTACAATTATAAAAGGTAACAGCAAATCCCAGCTGATTTGATTCCAACGTAATACTAGTGTCAATATGAATTTGACAAATTATGTTTTTAAAAATCACCCAACAGGAAAATTGGGAACGCATACAATTTAATTTAAATGTGCTCCCGTATTCAATTTACTCAATCTGCCTGCTGGGAAAGTTTGAGGAAGCAAATCTTTTTTCAAGGAATAACTCGATATTCCCAGCATTTTCATATGTGTTACACATATATATGGCAATGGCTCAATTATAGGAAAGATGTGGAAGCGATAGAAATATAAATTTGATAGATTTTCATTCATGTTTTTCCATTTTTATTTTGAGGATTCAAAAATATTTCATTTTCAAAATAAAAATAATTTGTTTGTTTGTTTACATTTTTCTGTCAAATGAGTTGACACTAGTAGAACTTACAACAACAAATTTCGATGTGGTTGTTGTATCGTATTTTGTACAACAACACTTGCTGTTACCTTCTATTATAATACCATGTCCCAAATGATAGACTACACTTTGAGATTTCCAAAAATGGTGTCGTACGTATAGGTGTAATGAGCTATCCTACTACTTCCTTTCAAAAATGCACCATCTATTAAATAAATAAAAATAAATCTACATTTCACCCTTACTCACCCTCTTCCATTTTCTCCATATTATCATAATCAACATAGCCACGGGGTATTTCCAATACCTCATTGCGGCGCAACGATGCTGTGGACAACGAGGTCTTATAGCCAGCATTGCGGGTCTTCAAACCACCAGCATCGGCTGCAAGTTTACCACCAATTCGACCACCAACATCACCGCCACCCAATCGACTGTATTTAAAACTGCTAGCCTTATATGGCGGCTTCGATACGATCAAATCCTGTTTCTGTGACAACTTCTTGCGTACATCACCATTGTTACGGGTTATTTCGACCAACTTATCTCTGGCATCACGAATTTTGGCACGATTTTTCTGTATGATTTTCATACGAGCATCTGTAATGCGAGCAGCCTCTTTGAATGCCGGCCTATTTAATGTTTTCCTCAATGGTGGTTTCTTGACGGCCCTAAAAAAGAACGAAGAAAAAATTAGGAAATGTGATTATGATTTTCAAATGATCTTTTTTTCATTCACAACGCCATTTTCTTATTGTTGTAAAAATCCTGCTGCTGCTTGCTTGCTGCATTTGATGCGTTGGTTGATTTTGGTTGACACAGAACTTACAATCGTTTGGATGGGGCCACGGCAATTTTCTTGCTTTTTATTATATCATCTAGGCTCATATCCATCTTGAATGATTTCTATGGAACAGGAGTTTTTGTGTTTGAATATAATGGAAAATTGAGTTTTTAATGATGAAAAAACTCCTGAAATCCTTTTGGAAAATTTTAGCGGTGCTGGCTGTTTGATTGGTGCTTGTGAGGTTTGGTTTTTTTATTATGAGTGAAGTTGGTGGTTGTTTTGTGACAGAGATGCCAGATAATTTGTGTATATACATGTTTTGTAGTTAGTGGAGACGTAACGTGATTATTGATTATTACTACGTGTAGATATAAGGCCGAAGGAGTTTTATGATAAATAATCATAGAATATTCTTTTTTGAAAGAAAATTTTGACTACGGAATTGAGTATATCAATTGAATCGATACATATCAGTTGCCAATTTCATAGCATATGCGTCCAGTAATTCAATTCATAGATTCAGTGGATTTTATTCGACATATACGCATTACATTTCCACTTCACCACTCATAGAGGAAGTTAACCCGACAAAAAGTTCTATTGTAAATGCAGTTTAAAAGGTCGTTTACATTTAACCGGATTTGGTTAACCCAGTGGGTTTAAATTTTCAATTCCTTTGAATATATGCCAAATAAATCCTAATAAAGTAGGTTAACCCGGTAAAAAGTTCTAATGTAAAACGGCATATACATTAGAACGTTTTACAGGGTTAACCTACTTTATGAAGATTTATTTGACACATATGCAAAGGAATTGACAGTTGAAACCCACTGGGTTAACGAAATCCGGTTAAATGTAAACGTACTGTAAATGCCGTATAAGGCTACGTTTAGGCAACTAAATCCACTCGATCTCAAATGTGAATTCCATTGCGTATACGTGACGTTAATCCTGTTCACAAATCCAATGGATTATATTTGACGTATGGAATTGACATTTGAGGTCGGTTAGATTTCGTAAATCTAAACGTACTTTAATGGACATCAGGTCAAAAATCTCACCGCCTCCTATAAAAACTTCAGTTCTTCTGAAAAAAAATATCTTGAACTCTTTTACTTCAGTTTATCTGAGAAGTTTCAGTTTATCTGAGAAGTTGAGTTTTCAGCTCTTCTAGAACAAGAAGAAACCCATTAGCTTTCTGGATCAGAATATTTTTTTGTGTATTTAACCATGTTGATAAATGACTTTGGTTTTGAAAGTTTTTTATATCGGTTTACGTTTTCCAAATAACGATTCCACCACTATTTATGGTATTTTATGTCAAATTTTCTAAGCATGTTCGTCATGCCGGGTTATTGAATTGTGAAGTTATAAAGTCTCACCACATTTTAAGTATTTTCATAATTCCAGGCGTATTTGCCAAGCAAAGTGGCAGTAATGTAGAATTTGGGTAAAGGTCTCAAGCCATTTTTTGGTATTTTAATAGCTGTGCGCCAAGTTTCCGATTAGAATAAACAAGTAGGATTTGTGTCATTTTGGTCTATTCCCGTACTGCAAGAATCTATTTTCGATATCATAAAGGAAAATTTGTTATCGTAGGAAAAAATAATAGATTCCTGCAGTTCGGGAACAGACCATCTGTTAGGGAATTTAAGGGCTAAGATTCTTGCAGTACGGGAACAGCGCGAACATTCTGCTTAGCCATTTACAATTTCTTTATGATATCGAGCAAAAACTAAAAGATTCTTGCAGTACGGAAAAAAAAACAATTATTTCTTGTGATCTCCGGCTTCAACTCTTTCTTTGTTATGTGTCAAACCCTCATATAAAAATCGATCGCGTATAGGCTACTAAATCTACTCGATATTTGACGTATGAAATGTGGAGTTGACATTTGGAATTATGTGTTTTTCGTAAATCTAAACGCACTTTAAGGTAAGTTAACCGATAACAGCTAATTTTCATGGGCTTATAATTTCCTTAACGAAAATCTCCAAACCCTACCGAAACCTATAGAAATGTTCATTTTAATACGAGAATTATTGGTCCGTTTCCGTACTACAAGAATCTATAACTTTTTATTACGATAACGAATTTTCCTTTATGTTATCGAAGATAATAGTAAAATATAGCAGATTCTTGCAGTACGGGAACAGACCATATGTGTTTTATTTTGATTGACATTTTCATTTCTAGGAAAAATTTTGGCTTAAGTTGTGTTTAGGGGCTCATCGCCGATTTTTCTGATCTCGTCGTAGATCTTTTTCGTGATCAGGGAGACGAAATTATATGACATGACATGGTAATACTGGCGGATATTTAGATACACATGTTTATTTAACAGACAAATTTTCTATCGCATAGCCGAATTTTCCATATGTCCATAGGAGAAATTCATAAATCCCCGGCCGAAGTCCGGCTTTATAAAACAACTTTTGATACAAAGGAAATTTTAATCGCGGAGCCAAATGTTCCACTTGTTCATAGGAGAAAAAAAATTAGTTTAAATGTTGATGCGTTAGCCAGATTCTCCGTCTGTCCATAGGAGAAAGTCTTTTTGTATAATTTTTAATAAGGACGAATTTAAGTGAAAATATAATTGGTCTGTTCCCGTACTGCAAGAATCTACTAAATTTTACTATTTTCTCCGATATCATAAAGGAAAATTCGTTATCGTAGTAAAAATTAGTAGATTCTTGCAGTATGGGAACATACCAAATGTGTACGATTTACTACCATACCTTTAACGAACCTTCATCATATTTGGTATGTTCCCGTACTGCAAGAATCTAATATTTTTTACTCCGATAACACTTTTTTCCTTTATGATATCGAAGAAAATAGTAAAATCGAGTAGATTCTTGCAGTACGGGAACAGAACAATTACCTTCATCGATATATAAATAACGAAGTTATGAGCATAGGAATTTTGGAACCTCAGAGGTCCATATATCGGTAATTATGGACTTCCCCCCATAAAAGGGCGCATAAACTCGTTCCACATTTTCTATTATTTGAAGATTTTTTCGCTTTCTGGAGCCCACCAATATTGTTTCCACATTCTGATTCAATGTTTCACTCTGCCGCTTTGTTTATTATAAAAAATCGATACACTATCCGTTCGATAGCCACATACAAAACAATAATCGATTATTATAACGATAGTTTTATTTCCATCAATAAGTCGATTATTCCCCTCTGTCATTACAATCATTTACGAAATCAGGAGAGAAAAAACGAAACGACGAATCTAACAAAAAGGTTCAATATAGGAAGACAATTTTCAAAAAATATTTTTCCTTCTGCTGCAAAATGACTTTATAGCGAAGAAAAAACGAAATAGAAGAAAGCTATTTGAACTGGATTTTAAGGTGTGCAACTGGAAAAAGAGGCATTACAATTTGGACAAAATAACAAAAAGAACAAAACAACAAATTTCTCTCCTTTTTCAAATAAATGAAGAAACAAAAAAAGAAAACCAACAACTACAAAAATCCATCAAAACAATAATAAATGCAAACTAGGAAAAAAACGTCTAGAACAACAAAAGAAAGAAAATTAAAAAAATAATAAAAATAACATTGTTGGCTTGCAGTGTTTTGTCTGAAATTGTGTTGGGGTTAGTGCGTGTGTGTGTGCGAAAAATTCCCCATCAGCTTTATTTTTTCGTTTAAATTACTTGCAAAATTTTAATGGGCAATGTTAGATCCCGGAATGAGACAACCCATCAACAGAGAAATAGGAAATTTACCAGGAATTTAAGTCAACCTCAATTAACAGCAGCAGCAACAACAACAACAGCTACGTTAATACAACCACCAGCACCTTCGGAAAGTTTGGGTGAAACATCACAAGAGCAGCAGCACCACCAGCAGCAGTCTTTGAAACAGGTAACGCCACCTCACTCTTTAATTTTTTCTCATTTGTTGTTGTTTTTCCTTTTGGAAACCCCAATAGAAGAAAAGTGGTTTGTCCGTTTTTTGCCATATTAGTTGGGAAAAAAGGGTTGATGACTATCAATTATTAACTATCGAAGGGGTATCTTATTGGGTCTCTATTTGGAGAAAGATTTTCAAAATACTTTTTACATTTGATGCATATATTTACATTTGTAGTGTTATTGAAATCAGCTGATTTTTCAAATGCAACTACACCAACACAACTATAGCCAAAACAGGGAAATGAATATAGAATGCAACAACAAACAAATGTAAATAAATAATAATAGTGGAATGTTCCGTTTAGAGAAAATAATATTTGCAGTTCAGATTTTATATAGCGGAACCCATATGTTTTGGTATGAAACCATTCTTAAAGGGTGTAAAATGAAAATAGGACAAATAAAAAAAATATATATATATTACGGCTTCTCGTAGGGATAGAAAAGGTGGTAGACAACTGAGGAAGTTTATAAAAAACAATCAGTTTTTTTTTACCTAATTATGGGGATATATTTTTTCTTAGAGTTATTTGACCCGGAAATTCGTTCACGGGTACCCGGTACCACAACCGATTAATACAATTTAAAATTTATAAATATACCTTTCTATTGAGTGGTGACATGGTTATCAGAATCCGTTTGAGAGTTACAATAAAAAAAAATAGGTTTTTGGACTCAGAGGTTTTTGTTAAATTTCGTCTCCTAAAAGTCGTCTATTATAGTCCCAGTCCCTCAACGATCCTATTCCAAAAGATAGACCTCACTTATAGCGTTCCAAAAGTGCGACATTTGTGGCTGTATCTATTTTAGATCAAAAGATACGGATCTTAGAACACTACAAACCGTCTGTTCATTTTAAATTGTAAACCTCATACAGGTCGCATTTATGAACCGAATTGGATGATATTTGGCACAGCTTATTTATTTGGCCCAAGGACGAAACCTTTTGAAATTGGGGAAAATCGGTTCAGATTTACTTATAGTTCCCATATATAGTTTCGTCCGATTTTAAGTAAGTGGTGCACCAAAGAGTCAAATTAAGGCCGATTGGTACACAAAATTTCACAACGTATGGCCCAACAATATAGCTCTCATATATATTTGCGTACGATTTTTAGCAAATGGTGCACCAAAGAGTCAAATTTAGGCGGATCGGAACGAAATTTTGCACAACGTGAAGTTGGGGCAGCCCAACGTCTGCCAAGTTTTATAGAAATCGGTTCAGATTTAGATATAGCTCTCATATATATATTTTCATCCGATTTTTAGACAATTGGTGCACCAAAGAGTCAAATTTAGACCGATTGGCACAAAGTTTTGCACAACGTACTAACGTTAGCATAGCCAAACTTGTGTCAAGTTTTATTGAAATCTGTTTATATTTAGATATAGCCCCACGTCCGATTTTAGGTGAATGATGCACCAATGATGGATTGAATTAACCAAAAATAACCCATTGTATCAAATTTCAGCGGATTCGGTTGAAAAGCGCGCTCATGCACATCAAAATACCTACAATTGTGGGATACCGTTATATGGGGGCTACCAGAAAAAATAAGAACCCATTGTACCAAATTTCAGATATATCTCATTTCGAACAGAAAATTTTGGCCATCTATCTCAATTCGTTCAGAGGCTAGAGTGATTACAATAGACACACTGAAATACTTAACTCGCATAGAATTTTACGCTGATCAAGAATATATACTTTATATGATCGGAAATGATTATTTCCATGAGTTATAAAGGGAAAAACATACTCAATATACCCTCCATACTATGATGAAAGTTATAAAAAGGTACAAATGTACACAATTATTGATCATAGGTTAAGTACGCTCACATATAGACACATTACATATTTAATTTAGTCCAATTTCATGTCAATGGTCCTTCAAAAATGCGAGGTCTGAGTTTTCAATCACTTCTTTTAAAAGGAGATCGAAAAGATATCTTCAATGAGTCGGTTGAGGGTTATAGTTGTATGTATACTAACATATTCCTCAATATTTTATCAGTAATATTGCTGAAGACACTATATACCTAAAATGTAAGGATTTCAAGAAATCATAATTCGAAAATGATCAAAATTCTTGAAAAGGGAGAATATTGGCTCCGCTCCCGACCTAAATATTCAAAACGCCGATACACGTGTCTTCTTTTTTTAGCAACTATTGCATAATCTATTGGAATTTCCGATAATTATCAAAAAAATCGAAATTTGTCGCACAGTGTGATTATCCATGTGTAAACTCATTCCTGGCATACTGTAAGCGTCTTGTGATAACTATATCACTATCTGTTCATTGTAAACTATGCCATATAGCATGTAAGGGAATAAGTGAAGTGAAGAACTTTTTTTTCTATTTTCCTGAACAATAATTAAAGGCAAGAGAATAAAATCTGATCATGTTTACTTGCCAGCTGAAAGGTCAGCTGAAAATGTGCACCTTCGGTTGGCCACCAGAACTCAAATGCCGGCCATGGCCACGCTCTCCTCTCGTATTAATCGATCGTGGCGTTACTAAAAAGCCAAATATTGTCGCGAAAATATTCTGGAGGGTGTATTAAAGCCTTGGGTACGCAACACGACTCAATGCGCACAATGACCGGATACCAATCCGTTGGGCTATTGTGTCTGGAGCATGTTGGAAAGCAAGATTGGTACAAAGAAAAAAAACCAAAGTGTCGATCACCTCAAGCAAGCGCTTCGCCTGGAATGGGCCAAAATACCGCAGAGCAACATTCGGGCAGCGTCATGCCATAGCTGACTCATTCGAACAAATCTAAACTTATTCTAAAATTTGATGCTATTTCCGAAATTTTGTTGCTTTCATTCAATAAAGTTTAAAAACTTAAAAATTAAAAAAAAAAACAAAATTGCAGTCAATAAGATCTGATAAAATAATCTTATTTCAATACAAATGCCACACAAGATCTGAATGCAATTCATTATAATATATTCCTACCTGCTATATACATCCAGCTGAAATATATTCATGACCTATTTTTCTTTTTATCAAAATGTAAAAAAAAAACCAAACCGAATTGAGGTCCTCAAACCCCAATCGGCGGGTATACATACGTATATTATACAATTTCTGACACGTGTGCACAAATTTGTATGCAATGGGTATTGATTAAGACTTAACCCAAATTATCTTTCTTATCTCTGATTTTTCCAACCAACATTTGGGTACAAAAACACACACACATATGCACATAAACTTCATTACCATAATATACCACCTTAATTAGAAGATCCCTCGTAAAAAATTTGGGGAATGGAAATTAACAAAACAAAAAAAATATATATTTAAATTAACTAAGAGAAAGAAAAACACAACAACAATAACCAAATTTGTGTAAATAACAATAACAACAACAAAACTGGTTAATATTAACAAAATCAACAACACAAATTAAAACAATGCAACAGAAATTCAATGGGGAGTGAGGAAAAAAAGGTGAACGTTTTTTTTTCTCATGTTATCTTTTGTTTTCTGTTGTTGTTGTTGTTGTGGGCAATTGGGTGATAGTGTGGTATTCCATAGAAAGGAGTTGGTGGTGAGCTATTGGAATCAATGTTGTTGGGTTTTTTCTTATTTATTTTGTCAGCCACTGACTGACTTTGTGTTGTTGACGTCCCTACTCAATTCAACCCTTGTTGTTGCAATTTTGTGTTTTTGTTTTATCGTTCTTTGTGTTCTATGACCGATATCTAGGAACTGGAGAGCAGGAGAAAAAAAAACGTTAAGAGTTTATTAGCTTCGGCAAATAACAATAACCTTCCCACTTAACTTGCTGTTTACTTTTTCCCTGTTCTTGACGGTAGCATTTACTTTTAGTTTACTTTGTTGTTGCCATTACTTTTAGTTATTTTCTTTGTTTCTGGCTTTCCAGCCATCTAAGACCAGCCGACCCATCATCATAACCCAACCTCAACCAACCTCCCCCTTCCTATTTCTTCATGTACGAGTAATTCATTCATTTATTCAATATTTTTGTTTGCTTTTTTTGGTTTGTTGGCGTTTTTCTGCGTTCTTGTTTTTTTCTTTTTGTTTTACTTGAGCATAAAAATGTTTGTTCTATTTTGATTTTTCGATTTTTGTTTTTGGCACAAAATTATTTACTACGTCGTAGTTTGGGTGTCAATGAACTCTTGACGTTCTTTGGCAGTATTAGGCCTGCTGTTGAATGTGTTGGCATTTTATGGAAAGTAATTTTTTGTTACAGTGGTGTTGATTAGAAAAGTAAACAAGAAATCATCGATGGAGGGAGATAGAATCATAAATCTGTAATCTTATGGAGAATCTAATTAAGACCGTATAACTTTTTATACCCTCCAACCATTTGGTGCCGATTTTGAATGTTCAACAGTCGGTGGGACGGGAGCGCGCGATAACTATTGAATATCGTAACCGATTTGACCGTAACGTTGCCCATCGTAATATTTCCACAAATTTGAATAAAGTTCGAATATTGGTGATATTTAAGTTCGTTCAATTTCATGTCAATGTCCCTTCGAAAATACGACATCTGTTAGGATACATATTTAGAATATCTCCAAAGTGGTGAAGAGTATCATATAGTAAAGTCAGACTACTTTTCTTACTGGTTAAACCCTACGCCTGTGTACCAAATCCATTTTAGACCATTTAATGTCAATGTAGGAATGTTCATCCGTCCGTCCGAGTGTTGAAGAGATTTATTATGTCAAAATTCTTTGATTTTTTTAACTTCACCCAATAATAATTTCGATTAAATACTATCGTTTTTATATCATATTCTGTTCAATCATTTTTTATATCATATTTCATTTAATGCAATACAAAAAATCTTAATTATTCAATATTTTGTATTTCAATTTAAAATTCACACTCGTGTCATCGCCATGCAAATGCTGCATACCGCCTGCATACCCCCTTGGTTGCCGAGAGAAATCGAATG